TTAAAATTCTAGGCACTCCCAATCGCATGACATGAGCAGGACAGTGTACACATTTCAAAATCCAGCTTTCTACACGTAAAAAAATTTAAAACCAATAAATATCGGCGCAGAAAAGTGTGTGAAAACATTAAATATTAGATAACAAAAAAAGAGCTATGCTATGGGTACATAGAGGTACACATAGGGGTTCACATAATGTGAGTGGGGGTGGGGCCCATGCTACAGTATCGCGGGCCCCACCCCACTCACATTATGTGAAGCTTTATGTGTATATCTATGTACAACTAGAATAATCCACAAAAAAAAATACTAACAATAAATTATGTCAAATTGCACGTTCAGTCCCATCCCTTGTATTAAAGACTAACTAAAAAATAGTTTTTTGCCCCCCAAGATCTGAGGTTAAAAATTCGCCCCAACTCCCAAGCCACTGCACCCACACCCACGCCCACAGCCACCCCCACTCCCTGTTCATTACTCCATTTAAATATCCGAAGAATCCAATCCTTAGCCATCACAGATTTGAACACTTCAAAATGGAAAACATTTTCAGACCAAAATCCAAGCTCTTCCTCATTTTCTTGTCTTGTTTTTCTCTTGTTTTGTTCACACTTTACACTCTAAATTCCCATATAATCACTCAAAGAAGTTCATCAATTAACTCAACATCAATACACATTCACAAGCACATTCAAGTAGCAAATACACATTGCCAAGGCACGTTGTACCCAGAATTGTGTGTCTCTACACTCTCTACATTCCCAGATCTTCACAAAAAATCTATCCCGGAAGTTATATCCACCCTTGTCAATGTCACCGCCGTGGAGGTCCGCGCCTGCGCTGCCAACGCCACCGGTCTCCGCCGGAGACTCAAGAAACTCGACCCCATTGATCGGAGAGCTCTCGACGACTGTCTCGAGCTTTTTTCGGACACGGTGGCTGAGCTGAAAATTATACTTTCCGATCTAGCAAAAAACACTTCTGCAGAAAAAAATTATTTGGATTTACAAACACTTCTCAGTGCTGCAATGACAAATCAGTACACTTGCCTTGATGGGTTCGCTTATAGTAAAAACAACACTCGCCGGTTCATTCAAGGCCGGCTAAAGAAAATCTCTAAGCATGTGAGTAATTCACTCGCCATGCTCAAGAAAATCAAGAAGAAGAAGAAGAAGGGTTCAAGTAATAATGAAGTGTTTGACGAATACGGGTCGACGAAAAAGGGGTTCCCGGTTTGGCTTCGGAAGAAGGACCGGAAACTTTTACAGGCGTCGGCGAATCAAACGCAGTTTAATTTGGTGGTTGCGAAAGATGGGAGTGGGAACTTTACGACTATAAATGAGGCGTTAAGTGCAGCGCCGAATAATAGTAATACAAGGTTTGTGATTTACATCAAGGGTGGAGCGTATTATGAGTACATTGAAGTGGAAAGGAGAAAGAGCATGATCATGTTTGTAGGAGATGGAATTGGAAAGACACTTATAAAGGGCAATCGGAGTGTCGGGGATGGCTGGACAACTTTCCGATCTTCTACCGTTGGTGAGTTCTCGACTCTCTTTCACTGGTTATGCACATTTGATTTATAATACTAGACGACATTTTAGTGCTGCTATATGTTTAGTATACATTATTAGACGAGCTTGACACTTTGTACTTGTGCACACCGGCGGATTTAAGATAAGGTAAAAATAAAATTTTTATGCGTAATTATTTTTTTAGTCAAGTTCTGAATCCGTTCTCGCTTGTACTGTTGTACATGCTTAATTATTGTAAGAGACTTCACATAATGAGGAATGTTAATAGGGGAACATATTGGTGGACCATGCCTTGTCTATTAGCAGTGCACATCACATTTTCTAGTGGCATATATAGAGACTTGCAGAAGATTTTGTCTTTGTGATTAACTTATGTACAAATAACTTTTTCTTCATTATTATCACTTTGAAAAAGATAAAGTTTTTTCTTTTCTTTTCTTTTTTTTTTAGAATAAAAGAAACCCTAATTTGTATCAGCCTCACACCCAAAGTGCCCTAAGCAACAAGAAATTTTTTTTATTATGCCTTGTTCGATCGCATTTTTCAAGACTCATTTTTCTTTAAATTTATTTTTAATCACATATTTTTTCAATTAATTTTACATGTAAATAAAAAAAATCTACTTTTTAATCATACAATCTTCCAATTTTATTTATTTATTTATTTTTCACTAAACCTATTCTAAATAAATTTCTACCAGACAAGGATTTAATATATTTTTACAACCTCATGGTACACATATGTATATTTTTTAAATGTCAAACCTCATCGCATTATTTAACTTGACAAGCGAAATAAACCCTCATATTTTAAATTATACTATGTAATTATTATTTAATGAAAACCTAACATGACGAAGATGCAGGATATCGAAAAATAATCTAGGTTGAATAAACACATGATAGCAAGTTATTTAATGAAGTCTGACATGCATACATAGCATGTTATTTTTGAACTATTTTAAGATTCTCGATCTCAAATGTATTAAAATAAATATAACAAACAACATTTTATTTTACTATGGCCCTGTTTGGGAGAAATTTTAATCAAGATTTTAATCAAAATTCTAGCCGTTAACTATCAAATCATCAGCCACCATTTTTTACTTTCCCTCTCACAGGTGGGGCCCACAGATTGACTATAACGGCTATAATTTTGATTAAAATCACACAAAAATTGCTCCCAAACACGCTCTATATTTGTTTTGGTGGATTTATATATCTTAATTGTCCCTG